TCCTTACATAATTTTTGTTTTGGGACGAGTGTGTCCCTGTGTTTGTTTATCTCCGTGTGTGCGTGTATATTTGGCACCTACAAAAGTTGTTTCGGTGTGTAATGTGCCTGGCTGTAAACAGAAGTATTTGTGTGTGGTGGGGGGGATGTCTGAACGTGTGTATGTGTGTGTTTCGGCCCATGACAATGCATGTCATAGGCTATGAGTATGTGGGTGTGCCGCCTCCCTCCCACCGGGGCTGCAAGCCATGCGGCTCACCCTTCCAGCCGCCTCTCAGCAGAACTGGCAGCAGCAGGACAAAGGGACTCGCCTCCGGAGGCAGCACCAGAGCCTCCGGTAGTGCCCGTCCCCCAGATCCCAAGCTCGGCGCGGCCGTGTACAACAGGAAGGCCCCTCAGCCACTCCCTGGGTCCGAGCATGGACCTCAGCTGCCACCCCGCCGGGGAACAGCCCCCACCCCAGACCCCCGTTCACCGGGTGCTGGGTTCTAGAGTGGGTCGACCGAATTAACTAAGTTACTAAGTCATCACAGATTTGCTGCCTGCCCCAGACGTAGTAACTAACGACAGGGCTCCAGCTTCTTGAAACCATCAGTGTGGACTCGCACCGCCAGCACCGCAGCTGATGGGTCCCAAGCTGATACGAGCTGGGTCAACAGCAAAGAACATTCCAGCGAGTCCGGGGCGCCTGACGGTGGAAGCGCACGGCACTCGAGTGTTTCCTCACTCGATGTCCTGCCTTGAAGGGACACGACAAGCAAAACGGGCTCTGGTCCATTTACTCTGAACACGTGTAAAACGAAAAGCTTCCTCAGATGTCACAAGCCCCCGCTGTCCTCAGTCATCACAGTCGTACTCCCTGATCTAGAGACCACCCTCTCTCCGCCCCGCTGAGCGGGCGAGGCTGGGAGACTTACTCAGATGAGGCCGGGCTGAGCCGCAACCCCCGGCGGTCTTTTCTCCCTCATGCTCCTCCTGCCCCGGCCAGCGGCCGCCGGTGTGCCCGCACCCAGCGCCCAGCAGGACAGGCCGATGGTGGGTGTGCTGCCTGACTTTTGAAGCTCCCCAAGTCAAGTAGGAGGGGCCAGACTGGGGGGGGGCAGGAATGGGGGAGCTGGAGCAGCAGCCCGGGAGCCAGGTGTAACCAGGGAGGGGGCCAGAACAGAGCTGCCTGGCTGGCTTCTCGGAGGGCTGTTTACTTGTGGCAGTCGAGAGAGGCTGAGCTGGGAGCTGGTTTATTTATTTTCCACACTTTTCCTCCAAATCCTTTCCCGAGAGTCCTCTGGAACCCCAGTGATAAATTTCCCAGGGCCCAGAAAAACCCACAGGCCCCCAGCACACAGCCATCTTTGTGCGGAGAAGGGCAGGGAGGCACAGAGGGCGAGGCAGGGGGGTGTGGAGACACGAGGTTCCTGGTGGTCCGGGGCCCTGGTGGCCTGCCGGCACCCCACACACGCACACACTGGGGGTGGGCTGGGGAGGAGGGGCGGAGGAGCAACCAGGCAGATTGGAGGCAGTGGCCGGGAAGGCTGAGTGGGTCCGCCTACGAGCCCAAAACACACGGTCGGGCGGCCAGGGGGCCTCCCCCGGCCCCCAGGCCCAGCAGTGGGACCCACGTGGTAAGGCAGGACCACAGCATTTTGTCATTTGTTAGCATCAGAGGAGAGAAAAGACCAAGTATTTCTGTTGAAGGAATGCAAAGCAAGGCTGTTTTCCTCTCCTCCTGTGTGACTCCACGAAGGGCCGAGACCTCTCTGAGTGTTTCCTCGTGACTAAGATTCCCCTGGGTCCCCTGCTTCGTGACTTCGCAGCCGAGGGACTCAGCCTGTGTCTGGCCTTCACTTGCTATCTGTCAACGCTCCCCTGCACTAGCGTGTGTCAGATACCAGGACGGAGCCAGAGGTACAGGGACAAAAAGTCCTTGTTCCCCGGGTGGGGCCGCCTCCCCCCACACCCAACCTTCCCTCCCGGATAGCGTGTCCACGCCCCGGGAGTTGGGAGAGGCACTGCGCTCAGAGCGCACCCAGGTGGGGTGGGCTTCCTGGGGCCACGGGGCAGGGCCCCTTGTTTAAGGTTGCCAGCTCTTCCCATACTGTGGAAACCTGCACCAGAGGCTTTGGGGGCGGAGGAGGGGGTGGGCGGAGCGGTGAGGACCCTCTGAGGGGCAAGCGCTCTCGCCCTCTGGGGGTGCAGAATGCCAACCAGACTAAAAGGCATGGCTGCCCCCAAGTGCCTGCAGGGGCCTGAGAGGCAGCGTGGCTTGCAGTTCCCTGGCATTGGGGTCCCAGACACCCACTGCTCTCTGAGCCTCGTTTCCTCACCTGCTAAGTGGAGACAGTAACCACTGTTCCTCAGTGGGGCCTGTGTGAGAAAGCACAAACTGGGGACCAGATGCGGCGTGTGGTCAGCACCCCCTACCCCCACCCGGCCGTGCGGGCTCTCCTGAGGCTTGGGCACTGCAGAGGAGTCCAGCTCTCCGGGGTACCTGGTGCCGGACACGCCCCTTTAGATCTACCAGGTAAGGGACAGCAGGAGGTGGCAGGTAGGGGCTGCTTTCCCTGTGTAAAGGATTTCTGTCCTGGCGAAGGCCAACAAGAAAAAGAACGTAGTGATCCATCTGAGCGTGTTTTATCTGGCAGTTTCTCCCGAACCCAAACTTGTGACTGGTGGCAGCTTTGTCCCTACTTCTTAGACAAGCCATGGACCATCTCTCAGTGAATTACTGCAACATCCCCCTGAAATCACGCCCCAGCCCCAGTGTCTCCTGACTCCAGATCCACATGGAAAGCTCTAGCAGCCTGGTGCCACCCTGCACTGGACTCCCATGGCTCACGGTGTGGCCCACGCTGGGACTCAGGGTGGGCAGTGTGTGGAGACTGAGGACCGCAGTCAGGCCCCAGGACCACGTTAGAAAGTGCATCAGTGCTGCTTCCTTGCTGCCCTGGAGAACCAGCAGGACTCAGAAACTGCCCCGCGTGGCGGAGAGAGCATGGCTGCAGAGTCAGGCTACCTTGGTTCAAAGCCTGGCCTTTCCTTCACCAGGTGTGTGACCTTGAAGAAGTTGCAGTAATTAACTTCTCAGAGCCTCAGCGTCTAATCTATAAAGCAGTGATAAAACGTAACCTCACAGATATGTCAGGGCTTACTCAAGGAGGAAATGTATGCAGGGCGAGCGCTTGATTGCTTGATTCACAGACATAATGAAGGTGGAACAATGACTATGGGAAGGGACTGGCCTCCGCGTCCCCCCTGAAATTGGGGGTGGGCAAGCCCAGACGGACCCCCTCCCTCCTCTGGGGGCCACAGTCCTGGGTGCTGCCCGCATATTTTGCTAATTGCAACATGAAGACCATTTAGAAGCTTGAGTTGCACACCAAACCCAGTCACGGAGGGACAGGCCCAGGGAACGACACATTTCCCTGCAATTACATGGCTCCTCGACCTTGCACACTCACTCAGTTGGGTGCCGCAGGGAGTTATCCCCAGGACTGCCTACGATCACAGTTCCAGCAACAGGGGATGTTGCTGCTGTCTCGAACATTGGGTCCTCCGGTGCAGAGGCAAGCACTCCACGCCCCATACAGGGCCTGAGAGGGCCCCTCCGCCTGCTGCCACCACGGAGCCAGGCCCCCGCTGCAGGGTGCAGCTCCTGGACCCTTCCCCAGACCCACCTCCAACCCGGCCAGCAGAGGCAAGGGCAAACACCCCACGCCAGCCCCAGCTCGGCCAGCTGCAGCAACGGAGACTTTCCCACGGCAGCTGTAAGGGTGGCGGACGCCGGTGCACAGGGCACAATGGGACAAGCTGCTGGGGCTGCTTCCCCAAGCAGGTTGGGCAGGGCTCCCTGGAACCACTCAGTACCCCCTCCTCTGCAGGAAGACCAGTTCCAACCGAGCTGAGGCCACCAGGCTCCGCTCATAGTGAGTCTTTAACGGATATTAATTACTGGTGTCATTATGTGTCGAACAACTATTTACTGAGTACCCACTATGTGCCAGCACCCTGCTAGGTCCAGGATGATCCTTGAAACATCCCGGGGCCTTAGAACACCAGGACACCCGAAAACACACACAACTTAGGATGAAATGAAAATAAATAAGGCCTCGGGACCACCGGGCTTCTCCGTGACCTTGGAATCTTAGACACACCCCACCCCGTTTCACAGGTCTATCCCAAGGCCTGGAATCCTTCAGTCGGGACCCAGAGGAAAGACCTCCTGAGGAAGCACATCTGCTGAGGGAAGAAGGGTCTGTGCTCCCCTCGCAGGCCGCGCCACCGCCACCACCCAGCTGTCCAGCTCAGCCCCGGCCTGCCAGCCTTTTCCACGCCGCTCACAGACCCCACAACGCCAGGGCTCAGTTCATGAATCACTCCCTCCTTTCCGCCGGCCTCACCTCCGGAAGGGCTGTGCACACCCAGACATGTCACCCAGACACCGTTTCCACACTCGGCTCGCTTCTGATAAACCCCGAGAACAGACAGCAACGTCTGCTTTCCTCTCCCCACTCCTCGGCCTCGGGGTGCTGGCCAAGACTTTTCAAGGACAAGACAGTCCCTCCCACGCCCGTCGCTTCTGGGGGGCTTGAAAGTGGGACGCCGCAGGGGCAGCAGACCAAGACGGTGGGTTTATTTAAGGGCAGAAGAACACGCTAGGTCTGAAGATGCGAGCCGCCGCGCTCCCGGACTGTAAATTTCGTTCTGCCGCGTGTGCCTGGTCTGGTCCGTGTGGCGCCTGCTCAGAGCGCGCGCGCCGCGTCGGTGGGCTGAGTGATGGTGACTCTGAGTACCTGGCAGTAGTGGGTCTGGGCGCAGCTGCTGTGGACACTGTGGGTGCCTGCGTGGAGTTTTTCCCGAGTCGGGAGCTCCCTCTCCCCGCCTGCGTGTCAGCGCCTCTCCCTCCAAAGTTTGGCGCGCGCTCCCGGACTGGCAAGGGAGGGGGCGCACGGCCGGCCGCCTCCCGAGGGCCCGGAGGCGGTTCCGGGACTCGAGTTCTCTACTTACCGCAGCCCCTGAGCCTCCTCCGGCGGGGGCGGGTCCGACTCTCCGCGGCTGGGGTCCGGCGCCGGCAGCATCCGCTCGCAACTTTGCCTGGGGCTCAGCGGAACCAGCTCCCCCGGGGCCCCGGCTCCGCGCCCTCCCCCGGGAAGGCAAGAGGGAGGCGCGGCGCGGCCCGGCCCCGCCGGTTCGCACACCCGGCGAGAAGAGGCGCCAGGCGGGCGCCGCCCCGGCCAGCGAGCGAGCGAGCGATCGGTGCTGCCTGGCGCCCTCCCCGCTCCGCCCGAGCCGCGAGCGGCGGCGGCGGATTCCTGAACCGCGTCCAAAGCGCCCGGGGAGCCCTCCTCCTCTCCGTCGTCACCCCACCCAGCTCCTACCCCTGCGTGCCGACAACTTGGGAACGGTTGGCGAACTTGGCGCGGCTCGGCTGCGGGCGGCGTGCCGGCCGGGCCTCCGGGTGGAAAAAGGGGAGGCGAAGGAGGAGCTGAGTGGGGAGGGGGTCGCCCCCGCCCCCGGGGAATCGAGCTCGCCGGGACCCCTCTGTGGGCCTTTGTTCCGGGCGCTGCCCCGTCCGCCCGCCCCTCCCCAGGGACCCGCTTGAGGCCGCTCGGGTCCCCACCCCTCCCAGAGAGGCTGGGAGGGGCTCTGGGCCCCCGGGTGCGGAGATGGGGGAGGTCTTCCTGGCTTCCGTCGGCCTGATTCCCCTGCGCCGCTACCGGCCTCCTGTCCTGCCCCTCCCCAGACAGACCCCTCCGGCTGCCCTGGTTCTCCGCCATCTCTGCGGGGAGGTGGGGGACCGGGCCGGAGGGCCAAATGAAGGTCCCATGGCTCCCACAGACCATACGCCCCCTCTCTGACACCTGGGAAGTGAGAAGGAAGTAGGATCCACGAGGGCCGGGAAGAGCTGCTTCGCGAGGTCCTCAGACCCTGCTGGGGAGCTGGCGCCTCCGCCTGGGGCCGCAGCGCGAGCGAGGACCGACCGGGTCGCCAGGAGGGCGGTGCAGAGCTCGGAAGTGGAGCACAAACCGAGCTTCTGTCTTACCTGTCTGCATCCAGGTGATGCCTCCCAGGCTTTGATGCCGCTGGTGAGGCTTTTCTCCCACGTCTTACCGACAGGTAGGGCATGAGCCAATAATTCAGGCCTTTCTAAGACCAGCGGCCTTGGCATTTAGTAGGATTTAGACACAATAAATCATTTCCTGCAAAGGAGAAATAGGAAAATCCAAAAAAGCAAAAACCCCAACATCTGCACTTGGCCTCCCTCTGTCATTCCGAACATCTGCTGATGAGAAACCCAAATAGAATCGAGCATGACCCCAGCCTTCCCCTGGAGCGGCCCTCACGGACGGCCAAGCCCGAGGTCCCTCTTCACTGTCTGGGTCCAGACCAGCCTAACCTCCCGTAAGGCTGTGGGCTGGAGGGCGCGCTGCTCCGGACTGTAAAGTGAGACCTTGGTGTCTCTTTTAGCAGAAAAACCTTACTGTGCGCTTCGATTTTTATCGTTAACAGTTCTGTGACCTGCTGTGGAGAGCAGGGCCTGCAGCCATGCTTAGAGCAGGCGCAGGAGAGCAATGACGGGCGGGGGTGGGGTGGGGAAGCAGCCCCCCGACGCGCGTGTGGTGCACGACACGCGCTCCTTATGGCGAGGTGGCGCGCTCCTCATGGCGAGGTGGCGCGCTCCTCATGGCGAGGTGGCGCTCTCAGAACACGCACAGGGGAGCGTGCGAGCCGCATGCCAGCGGAGGCTGCAGGAACAACACCTGCCTGTCAGAGCTGGTGTGTGCAACCTGTGCCTATTGGCACGAGGAAAAACACATGCTAATCCAAATTAGGAAAATCATGTTTACGAGAAAGTGTGCAAAATCAACGTGACTTTGCAACAGAAGGAAGCATAACAGCAGAGGATTTAAGACCATGATGACAAATCCAGAGAGTGGGTCACTTTGACACGTCCGGCCTGCTCCTCCAGAGAGAAAGCTCCCCGTGCTTCAGTCCCACGGACTCTTGGGGCTCATCATCCCCCAGGCCCTTGTGTGCTGTCATTGTTGACTGTTTCTGAGCGTTTGTCATCGTTACTACGTTAGTACAGATTGGGGTTGAAACTCCACGGATAGAAACGGAGTACCGCACACCCCCCCCCCACGTTGGCTCACCGTTATTTCTTAGTGCCGGTGTCACTGGTACGGCTGGTGGTGGCTGGTGGTCAGGTAGGCGGCCAGCTCTTTCGGTTCCTGAGGCCCGGGTCAGACGACCAGAGCCTGACCAAAGGTCGACTTACAGGAAAGACTGCTCATAAAGCACAAAACATACACTCATGACACCTGCTACAGGGAACAAAGATCTGGTGAGAATTCAGCCCTCGGGCAGCTCCTGGTTAAGCTTTCTGGTCCAGCTCTCCACCTCTCTGGCTGCCCCCAGGTCATGCTGAAGGGGGTCCAGCTCTGCCCCGGGATCGGCCTGCACGCTTACCAACCAATTTTCAGAACAGGTACCTTGACACACGGGTTTCTCCAGCCTCCATCCCCTCTTCTGGGAAAGGAAGTTCTCTGTTTCAGCCTCACAAATCTGCCAGAAAGGTACATTTAACTGCACCTGCTGGCCTTATAAGCAAGGCCTTCCTGTGGAATGTATGTAGTCTTGGGTTTTATTGCCAGAACTTGCAAATGCACCTCAGGGGTTACAAAAGCTGAAACCCAGAACTGTGTTGCCACCAGATTAGAGGAGGATGGGACTCCGTGCTACTGAGGTTGGGGTGGGGATGGGAGCACCCGTGGTCCCTGGGAAATTCCTGTGTTCACCCAGTGCTTACTGAGCACACATCGAATACTGGGGCCCACAGAGCTGAACGAGTCTTAGTTTCATCTTCTGTCAAGAGAAGACAAACCTATGTCTAAATAAATCCCAGAGATCAGCCCTGGCTGGTATGGCTCAGTGGACTGAGTGCTGGCCTGCAAACCAAAGGGTCACTGGTTCAATTCCCAGTCAGGGCACGTGCCTGGGTTGTGGGCCAGGTCCCCAGTGAAGGATGCATGAGAAGCACATTGATGTTTCTCTCCCTCTTTTTCTCCCTCCCTTCCCCTCTCTAAAAATACATTTTTAAAGTCTTTTTAAGAATTTTAGTGATCAGTGTGCTATGTGAGGTGAGGCTGGAGCTGGGGGTGGAGGGTTTCTGCAGAACAAGACCACAGGCCCGCCCAGCACCAGGGGGTACCAGGCATATGGGATGCGGTGTGGCCCCCGGAAGTGTGCAAAGCTGCAGCCCCATCCTGGAGCTGTGGACCCCAGGCCTGAGCGTAAGAGATGAACTGAGTTCTGCAGGTGGAAAGGCCAAAAAGGTAGGGGTGGGGCAGGGCTTTCTAGGTGAATGATGAGTAATCGAAAGAAGCAGGAGTGTGAGAGGGTAGCCATTCTCTGTGCTTTGGGCTGGCGTGACAGCTGATACTTGGGCCTCCAGGGAGAGCATCCCGGTACGAATGAGAAGGTACAGAGTGAAGGTCTGATCCAAGACACCAGGAACTTTCGTCCTGAAGTGGTTTAGTTTCTTCCAGCGATGGCTCTGCCCAGAGAATTGCTCCCAGTTTGGTGTCGTTTCTGTTGCTGTTGTTATTGTTATTTTGTTTGCACCCTGTCTGAGAACTGGAAGAACGTACTGGGCCAGCGGAAGAATTGCGCAGTGGTTAAGACACGGGAGCCCAGGTGCCATTTCAGTCAAGCGATTCAAGTTGGGGTCACTGGGAATCGGACACACAGACGTCACGTGCCTCCAGATGTGACATGCTGAGAAGGGCGCGACCCTGAGTGTGAAGTGTTCCTGTCCAAAATACGCCACTCGAGCCCATCGTGAACAGGCACCAGACACACTCAGACCAGGGGACGTTTACTGAACAACGGGCCTGAAGTACTGAAAATATGACCTACATGAAAGACAAAGAAAAAGGCTAAAAAACATGCCAGACTAGAAGAAAATAAACAGAAAAGAGTGCTGAGGTAGACAGATTCTAAAATAATCCCCAATGGCCCTCCTGTCCTGGAGTTCACGTCCTTGTGTGGCCCCTCCCCTCGAGTGTGCCTGGGCCCGGTGACCTGCTTGTCATGAACTGAACAGAGCAAAGGCAACGAGATGTCACTTCTGAGATCCCAGAAGACTGTGACCTCTCACTTGCTAGTGTTCTCTCTTTGGCTTTTCTCAATTCCCTTCTTGTGACCAAATTGCCAAGTATTGGGAGCTGCCCTGTGGAGAGGCCCGTGTTTCAAGGAACTGAGAGAGGGAGGGCCCTGGCCAACAGCCAGCAGAACACACAGGGCTTCGGGCCCACGGTCTGCAGCCACCTGGATCCTGCCCATGATCGCCGAGTACCCTGGACGCAGACCCTGCTCCGGGTGGACCTTGAGATCACGTTGCCCCGGCTGACAACTCGACTGCAGCCTGGGGGCCCTGAGTCAAAAAGCCCGGCTAAGCCACATCTCGATTCCCGACCCACAGAAACTGTGCGACGGTAAATGTCATTTTAGACCCCTAAGTGTTGGGGTGACTTGTTACGCAGCCACATACATGGCAACTCGTACGACCACTAAATGCGATGAATAATCCTGAACCGGATCCTGGAACTGAAAAATAAAATATTGCTAGGAAAGACATTTAGATAATTGACAAAATGGAAATAGGGACCGAGTGAATAAAAATATGCTGTCCGTATTAAATTTCCTGAATTTGAAAACTGCCCTGCCTTGCGAGGTGATGCTTCGTTTATTACAGATATACACCGAAATATGTAGGGACATGATTTCCGCCACTTTCTCTTACATGGTTCAAAAGTAATAGTAATATTTCTTATACATACTATATATGATATAGTCCATGTATTATAGACAAGGATAGTTTCATTTGCCTGTTGTGTAACAAACCGCCACAAAACTCAATGACTTAAAACAACAAAAATGTATTACTTCTTAAATTTTTTTTCTTTTATTGATTCTAGAAAGACAAGAAGGGAGCAAGAAAGAGAAACACTGGTTGCTTCTTATAGGCAATCAACCCAACCAGGAACCGAACCTGCAACACAGGCATGTGCCCTGAATGGGAATCAAGCAGGTGACCTTTCGGTCTCCAGAATGATGCCCAGCGAGCTGGGCCACCCTGGCCAGCGCTACTTCTTTAAATTTTGTGGGTTGACTGGGTTGATCTGGAAGGCTCTGCTCCTTATGGCGTCCGCTGAGGCTGCTGTGCTGCTTTCGGCTGGCAGTGGGGCAGGGCTGCGAAGTCCAAGAGGGTTCACTCTGCATGCGGCACCTTCGTGCTTCCTGGCAGGTCCTCTCTCTCTCTCCATGTGGTGGCTTGGGCTTCCTCACAGCATGGCAGTTTCA